CGCTTCTTGTACTCCGATCGATCAAACTCTTGAAGGACTTTTGAACAGTTCTTGTGTGATTTCTACATTTCTGTACTGATTTGCTTGCTGAGAGAAAGAGGATAAATGACCTTCGGAATAAAGATCCAGACTCACCTTTGAGCTGCGCCCGTTGAATCCAGACTGATGGAGGCCGAGTGTGAGTCTGCGCACCTGCTGCTCCACACGGAGACCTGGGGAGGAGTCCTGCTTCTCCTGCTCGGCGGAGGTTTGTGGCGGCTGTCAGCGCGCTGCGGGCTCCAGTTTAATACCTGCTGCAGGAGGTTTGACCGGCAACCATAGAAACGCTACACCCCCTGTAAACAGCTCCGCGCGTCTTCATTGGCCTCCCCGTTTCTATGGCGCTTCATTTTTAATCACGCTCAAGTCAACTGTGGCCGCGGGTTCTCAATCTGAGGCCCGGGGCCGCTCCGGGGGACCTGCTGGGACTTTTACTGCAGGATTATTGCAGTTTTATTAAAAGCAAACTCCGCGTGACTTTTTCTTTCTTTAAAAAGCGAATGAATGCAAAAACATATTAAATCAGGATGGAAGCTCAGGTCCTGCTGCTCCAAGGCCACGATGCACCATCCACCCACACATCCATCATTTCTATCATATTTAATACCGCACTTATTACTCCTCTGCATTCAGGACAGATTAAGACTCCATATTATTAAGTCTTCCAAAAAGCTTTCAAAAAGTAAAACCAGCTTTTCTGTTGTCCTGCTGCTCTGAACAGTCCGAGCATGTGGAGCTTCATAAGGGATAAACTATTTGACTGATTTTAATTTCTTTGAGATGAAGATTTTACATTTAAAACATGAAAATAAAGTCTTTTAAAACTATACAGAAGACCTGATTATTGAAAATAAAAATGTTTCCTCTGTAAACATTTCACAAGCCGATGAAACTTTTTACTCTCAAACAACAGATTTAAATCAAGAAAAATCTTTTTTCTTGTCATGATCTGGAACTTTCATAAAATAATTCCCCAATAAATCTCTAAATTTGTCAAAATAAAGAAACAACAATACCAAAAAAAAAAAATCTAAAAACCTGAAAGTAAATTTTGTGTGTTAATCAATGAAGCAAAACTTTATTTATATACACTTTTTATACAATAAAGCTGTAACTCATAGTGCGCACACACACATTCACACACACATACACTATACTCATGTAGTATCACAGCAGGACTGTCTTTGGAACACTGAGATACAAAATAATAACTAACAGTGAAACATAAAGGGAACTAAGGTGAAAGAATAAAGACATTATATAATTAAAGCAGAGTTTTAACATTTAAACAAATAATACAATAAAAATATCACAATGAATTAATAGAAGGTGAACTAAAATTTTGAAAAAGAGTAAAAAAATTAAAAAAGGATCTAAACAGTCTGAGCAGCCCTCGGGTCATCAGGGGGACTCTTCCATAACACGGAACTTATTAAGTCCATAATAATGCCATGTTACCTCTATGATAACTCTATGTTAACTCTATGATAACTCTATGATAACTCTATGATAACTCTATGTTAACTCTATGATAACTCTATGATAACTCTATGATAACTCTATGTTAACTCTATGATAACTCTATGTTAACTCTATAATAACTATGTTAACTCTATGTTAACTCTATAATAACTCTATAATAACTCTATGATAACTCTATGATAACTCTGTTAACTCTATGATAACTCTATAATAACTATATGATAACTCTATGATAACTCTATGATAACTCTATGATAACTCTATGATAACTCTGTTAACTCTATGATAACTCTATAATAACTCTATGTTAACTCTATGTTAACTCTATAATAACTCTATGATAACTCTATGATAACTCTATGATAACTCTATAATAACTCTATGATAACTCTATGTTAACTCTATGATAACTCTATGATAACTCTATGATAACTCTATAATAACTCTATGTTAACTCTATGTTAACTCTATAATAACTCTATGATAACTCTATGATAACTCTATGTTAACTCTATGATAACTCTATAATAACTCTATGTTAACTCTATGATAACTCTATAATAACTCTATGTTAACTCTATGAT